ACCACCGTCCAGAACTTTAGTGTGCTTATGTTCTGTACGTACATGCACGTCTCACCTCCAAAGCGTGTGCTTGATTTTCAGCCTTCACAAACGGCCATATAGTCTCCAGTCTGCTTTACCTTTTCTGTTCTGAGCTGCTCACCTGTATTGATAGACTGAGTTCAGCCATGTTTTATTGTTGCGTGGGATTCTGTTTTATAAATATACCACCATTTATTCATTATTAGAGGATATTTGGGTGATTTTCCTATTACAAACAAGGCTGCTCTGAATATCTTACACGGGGTCTACGTGCTAGGTTCTTTTGGGGCTAGATGCCTACCTACAGACCCGCCGACGTGTTGATGTGCCGTCTTCAACCTCGCTAGATGTTGCCAACGTGGGCTCCAGACTGGTAGTAGTTTAATTGTTTGATTTTGTTTTTTTTCTTCCAGTGCCCGAAGACCTCTCATTAGAAGAGAGAGAAGAACTTTTAGACATTCGTCGAAGAAAAAAGGAACTTATTGATGACATTGAGGTAAAAAAACCCAAAAACTCCCCTTAGTTTTTGCTTTTAGGTAAAATAATCACTAGTTTTTGCTTTTAGGTAAAATAATTACTAAAATAATTCATGAAAAGGTAAAAACTGGGCATCTCGTATGTCTGTATCCTAACACATGAAGGGAGTGAAAGGGTTACCGTAGTTGGTAAAGCAGATTGTGTTCAGCTCACCAGGCCGTGCGGCCACAGAGCTGGAGTCCACAGTGAGGGCACTTGTCGACAACGGCAGCAGTCCCCAAACGGGTGGCTCTCTCAAGTGGAAGAAGGCCCTATTCGTTGGCCCAAATCCCTAGCACCCAGAACCCGCCATCCCATTTCTGGCGTGCGGACCCCCGAGCGCCGACTCGCCGGTGGGAGCAGAATGGCAGAACACGGGCAAACGCCGTACTCACCACGGCTGTGTCCTTGGGCCCGGCGCGCCGGGGGCCCCCCAGGAGAAGCAGAGGCGCCAAACCACAACCTCAGGGTCAGCCCGTGGTGGAAATTATTCGGGAGACCAGCGCTGCTTGCAGCTGGGGCTTCTGTGGGAAAGTTAGTCAGCTGTGTGGCTCTTCTTTGAGAAGCTCCCGAATCTTTGTCACGTCAGAATGAACGTGGTCTCATTGGCCACTTGCTGCAAGACCAGCCTTGTCCAGACAGCACCTCCTTCCTAGGAGCCCGCATTTGAGGTCTGAACTTCCCTGGTGAACAAAACAATAGTGTCTTAATAAAAGTGTCTTTGTGTTTGAAAGGTAATTTGTGGAACGTTTTCTTGTAAGGTTACCCTTCATTCGTGTAAAAATCACTGTTTCCCAGAATGGGTGCTTTGGTTGAAGAATACGAATGTATTTTAAGGTTCGTGGTCCTGTTTGGACATTAGCAATAATGGTGCCCGTGGAGGCTCAGGTAGCTAGTGACCTCACCTTTGAGTTGAGAGCACTGAGGCCCCGAGAGGGTAAGAGCGTTGCCGAGGGTCCCACAGCCAGGAAGCGGTGGAGCCGTGCGGGGGCGCAGGGGAGCCTGTCCCGTCTGGTGTTCTCGGCGTATCCGAGCCCCAGGTGCGTTCTGCCCGCGCCTCCTGGGCTCTGTCCCTGCCGCTCTGTCTCGCGCACAGACTGGTGGTTCGGGCCCCGATACGGGCCTCACACCTTTGCCCTGGTCTTCCCGAGAGGAGAGGAAGACCGTGGCCGTGAAGAAGGCAGGGAGGGTGGCCGGAGGCTGGGGAGGAGGAGCTGAACAGCCGCAGTGAGTGAGCGAAGGCCGCACTGCTTCCCTTTGTTGTGTTTTACACACACACACACACACACACACACACACACACACTCTCTCTAGAATCTGCCCGGTTGGCCCCTCCGAGCTTGTTCTGGCAACAGGTGGGCAGATGATGATTGTGCTTTCTCCTGAGTTGGGGCCGCTTGGACTGGGTGGAAAGTACGGATTTTTCCGTCCCCAGGACGTCCACGTGAGGCCTCAGGGAAGCTTGTGTCTGGGAGGCTAAAGTATCTCGAGTCTAGGAGGGGACGGGAAAGAGCCCCACCCCCAAATGTCTGTCTGCTTTTTTGGCAGAGGCTGAAATATGAAATCGCTGAAGTGATGACTGAGATTGACAATCTGACTTCAGTGGAGGAGAGGTAAACTGTTGGCGCCACACGGCTGAGTCCCTAACCTCTTCCCTCCCTGCCTCAGCTGCCGTGTGAGCACAGCGGGGCCGGAGGGCTGGGATCGCGAAGTGGGGCGGCCTTTGTGAGGCTGTTGGGTCCTCTGCTCCCCACCCCTCACCCCTTCCTGCTCTCTGTGGAGGAGTCAGGGCTGCTCTGGGGGCTGCGGCTCTCCCCTCCCTTCCCTGGAAGCACAGCTCCTCCAAATTAACCTCTGCAGAAGTAGCCTCTCTGTACAGCAGGAAACCGTGCTTTCCTTAAATCGTTTGTCATTATTAGCTATTTCTGAAGAAGGAATCAAGTGTAGGAAAGAGCCCCGGCAGCCGCGCGTGCCACCTCTGTGGTGGGGGGTGGAGGGGGGGTGGGGGGTAGAGGGGTGGGGCTGCAGGGGTGGGGGGTGGAGGGGTGGGGCTGCAGGGGTGGGGGGTGGAGGGGTGGGGCTGCAGGGGTGGGGGGTGGAGGGGTGGGGCTGCAGGGGTGGGGGTGGGGTGGGGCTGCAGGGGTGGAGGGGAGGGGGTAGAGGGGTGGGGCTGCAGGGGTTGGGGGTGGAGGGGGGGTGGGGGGTAGAGGGGTGGGGCTGCAGGGGTCGGGAGTGGAGGGGTGGGGCTGCAGGGGTGGGGGTGGAGGGGTGGGGCTGCAGGGGTGGAGGGGAGGGGGTAGAGGGGTGGGGCTGCAGGGGTGGGGGGTGGAGGGGTGGGGCTGCAGGGGTGGAGGGGTGGGCTGCAGGGGTGGGGCTGCAGGGGTGGGGGGTGGAGGGGTGGGGCTGCAGGGGTGGGGGTGGAGGGGTGGGGCTGCAGGGGTGGTTTTCTGCACTGACGTGCTGGCTGAAGTGCTGGGGAGACTGCCCGCCCTCTTGCAGTTGGTGCAAACATTTGCTAATGATTTAACTGTTTGAAATGCATAGCAAAACTACCCAGAGGAACAAGCAGATAGCTATGGGGAGGAAGAAATTCAACATGGATCCCAAAAAGGTAAGCCAACGTTCCAGTGTTCTGGCCTGCAAGGGATTGTGGGATTCACCGGTTTGATTGGCTCTCTCATTTTGGACAAAGGTGGTCGCTCATACCCCCTCACAGGTACCAAGAGTGGAAGTTAAATTTGTATCATGTAGGGGCTACCAGGGAGTGGGGTGAAGCACAGGTGCCCGCGGGCCTCATCTCTGGACCCGAAGACCTTTTTTTGCGTGTGAGGCTCTGGGTGAGGCCTCCCCGCCCCGGCAGCGGCTGGTGTGGACAGGCCCTCGGCGGGGCCAGGCCGAGCGGTGTGTCCTCCCACTGTGGCATGGCCCACAGCCTGGGGAGCTGGTGGGCAGGGCTGCACCCTGGGTGTCTGCTGGGGGGTTAAATGGCTCAAGTCTGGGGACTTGGTTCCTCCCATTCACCTTCCAGAGAAGACGTCTGCATGAAGGACCGGGAGCTCTCCTGATTGAAGGCAATACCGGGTCTTTTCCTCCAGTTGGATTTTCTAGGAAAACACCCGAAAATAAGGAAACCTGCAACATGCAGCTACTTGTCTATGAGCTTGAACCAGAAGACTTAGCAGAACCTGTAAACGCTTTGTGGAGCATGGCTCAGCTGCAAGACCGTTAGGTTTTGAGACAGCAGAGTGGATCTGAGTTAGCCACCAGGGCTTGAGGTCCTGGAGAGGAACACCGTGTCCCCAGAAGCTTCTAACTGCGGAGCTGACTTCATTCTACAGTGATCTTTAGGTGGCATTCACATCACACACCTTCCTTAGGATTTTATTTATTTATTTTTGGCATTGAGCCTCTGTGCTAATTAATGATTTGTTCGTTCAGTAAATGTTGATAGCAAGAATTGCACTGTGCAAGGTCTAAGATCTGTAAACTTGCATTTCTAGGTGCAAGCACAGTTGCAAAACGTAAAGAAATGGCTTGCAAATGTGGATTCTCCTCAGCCTCACCACAGCTGCCGCCGGAGGAGGGTCTTTGTTTAGCTGGAGTACTCCCACCTCTGCGAAAAGTTTCCTGTTGCTTCCCGATTTTCTGCTTAGGGGGCATCCGCCAGCCCCAAAGTGGAATTCAGCTGTGTCCGGGAATGATTTTGTGAATTTGGTAATGACTTGAGGTTTGGAGCTAGAAGCGTTTTTTGTTGTTTTTTTCCTTTCTTGAGTTGAATTTGCAGAGTTGGCTTAACCAGCAGATTTGATAAGCATTGGCAGCATCTTCAAAGATACCTCACGAGTGGCTGTTTTGGAAACCAGACCTTATGTTTTAAGGTGCAGCGCAGGACAGCACGCCCACAAGTCCGGGGATGAGTCCACGTCCTCCCCACAACGCGCACACAGACACTCTGGTGGCCCAGTGGTGCTGTCCCTCCGCCCGGCTCTAGCCTGTCCTCTCGTTCTGCGCACACCAGGTGTCAGATGTGCAGTCATGAGGGCTGACTCAGGCTTCCTGAGAACTTGCCACGCGTCAGGAACTGCTAACGAAGCACTGTAATTAGTACACTTAACCTTACGGGGTGGCTTCCCTTTCAATGCCTGTGGTGCAGTCGGGGGAAATGAGGCACAGAGCCTCTGAGATGTGCCCAGCGTCCTGAGCGAGGAATCCACCTCAGACTCGGGCCTGTGACCACCGCACCCCTCTGGGCTCCCGTGGGAGCCTGGGGTTGGTTTGTTGGCCGCCCCGGGAGTCCAGCCCTGTGGAGTGTCTCCACCTCCAAGTCCGAGGAAGCAGCTGCTTTATCTGCTTTGCCTGGGCTGTGGCCGGCGCCCTACAGGCCTCATTTTGCCTCGATGCCTCTCCACCTGAGCGATTTTTAAGGTATTAATTATTGGTGCTACCCAACAACTTGTTTGTAATTATGGTAAATTTAGTCTGCATGTGACCCTTTGCTGGGGAAAGATGATGAGAATTCCCTTGTCTTATAGACAATTATAGCACTCGTTGGAGTCCGCTTGGGCCACCATAACAAAATACCGTGGACTGGTGGCCTAAACACTAGACATTTACTTGTTCACCGTTCTGGAGGCTGGAAGTCCAAGGTCAGGCTGCCAGCATGACTGGGTTCCGTGAGAGCTGTCTTCCCCACTTACAGGCGGCCGCCTCCTCACTGTGTCCCCAGAGGGCCCAGAAGAAGCTGGAGAGCGCCCCCTGGTGTCTCTTCTTAAAAGGGCAAGGGTTCCCTCAAATCAGAGCCCCGCCCACATGACCTCGTCTGATCCTGCCTCCCAGGACCCCACTTCTGAACACCATCACACTGGGGGCTAGAGCCTCAAGATGGGGATCTTCGGGAGACTCAGACATTCAGTCCAAAACAGCCCTGGGTGATCTCACACGCGGTGTTGTGAAACAGGCTTGCATCAGAGACTTTCAGGCTAGCAGGAAATAAGTCACAGAGTGGTGACATTTTGAGCGGGAGCTTCTGTTTCTGCAGGTACATTAGCTACACAGAGGCAGCGCTTGGGGTTAGAAATGAGTAAGAGGAAAGGTTGATTCGATCAAGGAAGCAGGAAACATTCTACAGGCTCTCTCTTTTATTCCCAGTTTCCTAGAAATGCCTTTCAAAATATAACATGAGTCTGTAACAAGCAGGCGTTCGCTCAGTCGACTAGAAATTGAGGGAACCCTGAAAGATAAAAGATGAGCGGAAGCCCGAAGGACACTTGGGAAAGATTTGCTCTGGGATGGCAGAGCCACGTCAGGGGCTCGGCTCCCTCGGGCAGCAGATGTGGGATCGGGGAGGGGGCCTCCAGATGGTTCACCCTTGGCTGAGCTTGCGCCGAGCAGTGGTGTGTGCCCCCAGGTGGGAGACGCAGGTGTCTCTTCTCCACTGGCCTCACTGAGGAAGAGGAGGAGAAACACCCGCTCCCAGAGACCAGCTTCTGAGCCCCCCAACTGGCCGCATCATCTGCTCCAGAAACAAACGGCGTTCGGTTGGGCTACCAGAAATCCTGAAATACAAAGGTCATCACCCAACCGGGAATCACCAAATGTATGAGCTGCTTGACTCCGTGAAAGAGATGTGAAACACCACAAACAGAACTAACACAGGAGGAAACATTAAAGGTAGGATGTTTTGTATATTATAAATCTCATCAGAGATGATGGGGTGTTGGCTTATCCTTGGTGCAAAAAATGGGGAGTTGTGGAAAAGGTCCGTGGAAGTGAAGAACCAACGCCCTCTGAAAACCCACAGCCCGAGGCTGGGGCGGGGACACGGGCAAGGCGGATCGTGGTGCTCCTGTTCTCCATCGCTCTACGCAGAACCGCGAGAGGCGGGAGGCAGGTCTGGTGGCTCAGATTTCATCGAACAAGTCCCAGGAGGAGAGAATAGAAGACAGAGTGAAGGATGTATGTCAAAGAAATACTGGAATATTTCAGAGCTAGATTAAGATAAAATACTCAAAATCAAAGGGCTCACCAAATGCCAAGCAGGATAAAATTTTTCAGACACTGATCCATAGAAATATCAAGTAAAATGCCAGAAAACTTATGGATAAAGAGAAATTCACTGACTTTCCAGGAAGGAAAGACCAGATTATCTAAGAAGAAACCAGAATCACAACAGGAACACTGGATCAAAGACAGCAGGGAAACTTTCCAAGGTCCGAGGAAACGTGATTTAAAACCTAGAACTCTGGGGAGGCCAGTATAGACCCGCAGAAAACCAAATAAAATAAAAATAATAAAACCTAGCATTCTGACCCATGTGAGGAGGCAAGTGAAGACATTCAGATGTGCAAGGACTCACAAAAGGAACTGCTAACGTTCCGTGAGCTCTAGAAATTGTGGTTGGAGCAGTGCGTCTATAAACAGGACACGGATCCAGGATGCGGGATAAAACGGGAGAGACTCGAAGAAACCAGCTAAACATACGGTTAAGTCTAAATGAGAGCTTGATTGTTGAAGGAATGTTTTAAAAATCAAAGTCCCAGATTACCTCAATACAGGTGACCCCTGAGCAGCACTGGGTTTGAGCTGGGAGGGTGGAATTTTTTTTTTAGTACATACAGTACAGTACTGGAAATGTATTTCTCTTCCTTACAGCTTTCTTAATAACATGTTTTCTCCAGCTTACTATCATAAGAATGTTACTGTAATATTGTGATGCTATTGTAAGAATACAGTATATAACATATGAAATGTGTTAATTGACTGCCATGGGTAAGGCTTCTGGTCAACAGTAGGCTACTAGTAGTTAGATTTTTGGGGAGTCAAAAGTTACATGCAGATTTTCGACTAGGGGGTTGGTATGGGAATCCATAACCCCTGCGTTGTTCAAGATCAGCTGTGTGTAAGTAGCACGGGACAAGGGAAGCAGGGAAGTCAACGTTGGCTAAGGTTTTCAAGATGTTCATGGATGAATGTAAGTTGAAATATTAAAATTTTATTTTGTTTTTTAAAGATTTATTTATTTGTCAGAGCGAGTGAGCACAAGCAGGGGGAGTGGGAGAGGGAGAGGGAGAAGCAGACTCCCCGTTGAGCAGGGAGCCCGATGCAGGACTCGATCCCAGGACCCTGGGATCATGACCTGAGCTGAAGGCAGACGCTTAACCGACTAAGCCACCCAGGCGCCCCTAAGTGTTAAAATTTTAAGAGTAACCACTAAAAATAGGGATAAGATAGGATTCCTAAATTACTAGGAAAAATTGAATAAAGAAAACTTAATTCAACAGAAGGCTGAAAAGATATGAGAAATACCCAGTGTATGTGAAGGCTCAGGAAATGAGTGGTAACAAGTTCATAATGACCATAAATTTGATTGGGCTCAGTTACCTCTTAAAAGGCACCTTCACATTAGTTTGAAGAAACAACAATAAAGTCCAGATGTGTTCTGACTGAGACACACACCTGGAACAGAGCACCAAGGTTGAAAACAAGGAAAATAGGAAAAGATACACGAGGTGTAATGGGTTGAATGGTGCCCTCTTCCAGTAGATTCTACTGTTTGATTTTCTAAATGATATTTTTAAAAAGATTTTATTTATTTATTTGAGAGAGGGAGAGGGAGATCACAAGCAGGGGGGTAGGGAGGGGAAAGGGTAGAGGGAGAGAAGCAGGCTCCCCACTGAGCAGGGATCCCGACCTGGGGCTCGATCCCAGGACCCTGGGATCATGACCTGAGCCGAAGGCAGATGCTTAACCGACTGAGCCACCCAGGCATTGCCTCTAAATGATATTTTAAAACATAGACATTGTCTAATAATACTGCAACATTTATTAGCATTTACCTAGTGTACTCGGGTCCCGGGCCGCTGTAATGACCACAGACTCGGTGGCCTGAAACAACAGAGGTGTGTTGTCTCACAGGCCCCGGGGCCAGAAGCCTGAGATGCAGGTGTGGGCAGGGTCCGTTCCTTCGCGAAGCTCTGGTGGAGAGTGCGCTCTGGGCCCCCCTCCCCGCTTGCCGTGGCTGCCGGCCATCCCTACTGTTCCCCGGCCTGTGGACCCACCGCTCTGCTCTCAGCCTGCTTGTCACATGGACGGCGATGCATGTCAGCGGCTTCCGTGCCCTCCTCCTCTGCTTCTGCCTCTTTGCTTCACCTCCCCAACACAGCCCCGTTCTGCTTCATAACTGCTCTCTCTGACTCTGGCTTTGGGCTCCATTTTCTTTTCTGGTGCCCGGCCTGGGCTCACCCCCGTGGCACTGTGCTTTCTGGTACCTTTTATTTTATTTTATTTTATTTTATTTATTTATTTGACAGAGACACACTGAGAGAGGAACACAAGCAGGGGGAGTGGGAGAGGGAGAAGCAGGCTCCCCGCCGAGCAGGGAGCCCGATGCGGGGCTCGATCCCAGGACCCCGGGATCAAGACCTGAGCCGAAGGCAGACGCTCAACGACTGAGCCACCCAGGCGCCCCTCTGGTACCTTTTGCAGAGGGAGCTGGAACTTGGCTTGGGGCTCCCCTGGCTGCCCTCTGTAACCTTGAAGCACAGAAGAGATGACCTTGGGTGGGCCTACTTGCTATTCTCACATCCTGGTTTTTCAGGCTGTTGCGTAGCCTCCCCAAGGAGCTCCCGAGTGTTTGAATTTTAGAGCAGGTTGTGAGCATCCAGAGCTCAGGAGAGCCTCATCCCCAGGTCCGTTCAGTTCCCGGCAAGGTGTTGGCCGATGGAGTGCCTGGAACATTGTGAATGTGGAAATTGCCAGGCCTAGGGACTCCAGAGAGCGCTGGGAGGCTGGGGAGAACACGGGGCCAGGGTGGGATGGGTGCAAGACTCTGTCAAAGCCACGGCCCCCACCCCCACCCCCCACGGTGCACAGCAGGAGATGGGCCACAGGGCAAGACAGCCTGCAGCTGCGGTTCCCCCCCCCTTCCCCCTGTCCTCTGCCAACCAGTATCACAGCCCAGGGATGTCACCCCAGCTGCCAGCCAGGCACCCATCCCCCAGGGAGCACCTGCTTCCGCCAGGCCCTTGGCTCCAGGACCTCGGGCTCCTTTGGAAGCTCTCTCTCCTGTCCCTTGCAATTTGGGGGTGGTGGTGCAGCAGGATCTACCAGTTCCACCCACAGCCAGTCTGTGAGTCCTTGGGACACAGAGTCGAGAGAGGCAGACCAGGGCCTCTTTGGCCTCTGACCTCTCGGCCAGGGATGTTAGGTCAGACTGTAAAGTCGGCCCTGCTGCCCAGAGCTCCCCTCCCGCACAGAGCCCTGGGTGCTGGGTGGGGACGGCACCAGCACTCTTGTCCCTCGCCTGGTTTCTGGGGCCTTGCTGGACAGGTGCGTACTCGGGATCGGAGTGCTTCCTTAGGGTATGTGCACGTCGTCCCTTCTAGAAGATGATCCCCGGGGGGCCTGGACTCACTTGAGCTCCCACCAGAAATAGATGAGAGTTAATTTAGGATCGTCAGACATACTGATTTCTTGGTAAACTTTTTTATTTTTTGAAGAACAGCATATGGTGCACAAACTTTGCACAGCATGACGAATTTTTACACACTAAAATCCTTGTGTAACCCAGAGCAGGATGCGGTGGTGGGGCATCAGAAGTGTCTCTCTGGTGTCTCCTCCTAGCGAACAAATTCCACCCCGTCACCGTAGAGCGGGGCTGCCTGTTGTAAAACTGTAAATATAAATAAGGTACATTCCGTGTCGTCCTTTTATTCCGTGTCACATCTGTCAGATGCATCGATGTCGCTGTGCGTTTATTCTCGTTGCTGCATAGTGTTCCATCGTATGGAATATACCAGAATAGGATTTATCTCTTCTCTTATTGGTTGGATGTTGTTGGGTTGTTTCCAGTTTGGGGGAAATTCTAAATAAGGCTGCTGTGGATATTCACGTGTTTGGGAAAAAAAAGAGCAAAGACTCAGAGGGACCGTGTGGTGTGAGGGAGGGGCACAGAGAGTGGTAGCTGGAAAATCATCTCCGAATTTGTAGAAGGAGAGGCAAATAGAGGACAGAATTCCCTTACCAGCTTTGTCAGCCTGTGTTGGAAACCAGCTCAGAAGCTGTGTCAGAGCTACATTTTCGCTATTCTTAGGGCTTCTCAGGAGAGGAGCCTGGCTGCTTCGGGCCAGGGCAGCGCCTCTGCAGCCTTTCATTTAGAAATTGTCACCTGTGCCCTTGAGGGCCCTCAAGCGGGTGTGGATTTTCACCAGCTTCAGCTCGGTGGCACAGAGATGCGTTACCGTGTTCAGCGGCAGCTCGCAGAAGGCCTCGTGAGGACGGCTTGCACGGCGACTGTGTTCTCCCAGGGCAGGGGTGGCTGCAGGGGCCCCAGTGGCTCCCAAGTAACCGGACCCCAGCCCTGTGTTCATCCCGGCCTTTCCCTCATCCATTGGCCGTGAGGGCGCCGGTCATCACATCTGCATTCCAGGCAGGCAGGAGGGAGAAGGAGCTGCTCACGAGTCCTTTTGGTCAAGAAAGCTTCCCCAGGTCCTCCCTCCGGACTTCTTTCTGTGACCAGATCCGCGTCACAAGGTCATTCCTAGTTGCAAGGGAAGCTGGGAACATGATTACTTAGCGAGGCATGGCAAGGAAAGAGGGGAGCTCGGGGAGGGCGTGGATTGGCCAACCCCAAAGGGCATGTTACTCTCGCACACACAGCAGATCGTTCTCCCGAGCTGGGGAAATTCGGTGTTGTTATTACCTCTGCTTTTATGATCTCTAGTACCTTCTTTGTAATGGTTTGTTCGGTAACCCCTTTATTTGTCTTTTAGCCTGTTAAATTGCCAGGAAGAATGAATGTGCTTTCCTCTGGTGGGCAAAAAAAATGTAGTCTGGGGTGTGAGAATCAGATTGTCCTGGCATTTTTGTCATGTCCCAGCCAGTAAGATCATTACTCTAGATGTATTTCTGTCTTTGAAAAGGGAGTCTGGGCGACCCTCCTAACCAGAGCTTCCTTTCTTATGTCCCTCTTCAGGGAATTCAGTTTCTAATAGAAAATGACCTGCTGCAGAACTCCCCAGAAGACGTAGCCCAGTTCCTGTATAAAGGAGAAGGCCTAAATAAGACCGTAATTGGGGACTATCTAGGTGAAAGGTAAGTTGAAGGAGAACCAGCAGCCCGGCCTGGGCCCGCCCTCCCCATCGGGGTCTGTCACAGTTGCGCGTGGGCGTAAGGCGCACGTGCTACTCCCCACAACTGCGTTGGCCCAGCGCAGTCACATGCTTCCCCTGCCCTTGCGGGGAGAGAGGCGTGGGTGCTCTGGGGCCAGGTAGGGTCTGTGATCTCTGGAAACCTTTACTCAGGGAACCATGGCAGAACTGAAACTGGTGCTGCCTCTTCTCTGTACCTCAGAAAGCATCTTTTTTTTTTTTTTTTAAGATTATTTATTTGAGAGAGAGGGTATGCGCTTGTGAGCACGTGCAAGGGGGTAGGGGCAGAGGAAGAGGGAGAGAGAATCTCAAGCAGACTCTCCACTGAGCACAGAGCCTGACACAGGGCTTGATCTCATGACCCTGAGATCGTGACCTGAGCTGAAATCGAGTTGGATGTTGAACCAACCGAGTCACCCAGGTGCCCCCTCAGAAAGCATCTTAATCTTCTTTTCATGTTTTGCCCAGAAATAGACCAGATTTCTCAGTGGTTTTCTTCCCCCTGTTGCTTGGGGATATGAGTGAAGGTGGGAAGTTATTAATTTTTTAAATGGAGAGCACTGGACAGATTTACATTCCCAGCCTTCTCTAATTAAGGGTCCATTTGCTGTGCTTAGCAGAGGTTAGGGCAGGAATCTAAGGCAGCACATCCCCTGAGTCAAAGATCAAACAAGAGTGTTTTTAAATAAGAGCCCAACAGTTGCTCATCCGGGGTGGTTTCTGTTTCTAGCTCTTTATTAAAAATAATTGATCAAAGGTGGAAAGCAGACACGTCCTAACTCATTCTGTGTGGCCAGTACTACCTGATGCCAAAACCAGAGATATCACAATTAAAAAACAAAAACAAAAAATCCTGCAGAGCAGTACCTCCCATGACCACTGAAGCAAAAATCCTCAACTAAATATTGGTAAATCAAATCTAGCAATATTTAAAAATGACTATACACCAATACATTCACCCCATGCATGCATTCATTATCCCATGAATACAAGGTTAGTTCAGCGTACAAAAGTCAAAGTAATATACAGTATCAATATAATAAAGAGCAAAACCCACACGATCATCCCAATAGATGTTGGAAAGGCTTTTGACAACATTCCCTGCTTCAAGACAAAAGCGTTCAACAAACCAGGAAAAGAAGGGAACTTCCTCAATATGATGCAGGCCACCTGTGAAACCCACAAGCTGACTTTATGCTTTCTTCTAAGAGCAAGAACAAGATAAGGTTGACTGCTCTCACCACTTCTCTCCAACATGGTACTGGCAGTTCTAGGGCAAGAAAATGAAATTAAAAGCATCTAGTTTGGAAAGGAAGAAATAAAACTTTGTTTGCAGAAGACAGAATTGTGTATGTAGAAAATCCTGAAGAATCACTAAAAACATTAGAACTAATAAACAAGTTCAGTAAGGCTGCAGGATACAAGATCAATATGTAAAATTCAGTTGTACTTTTAAATGGTAGCAATGAGCAAGCTTGGAAAAGATACTAAGAAAAACAGCTCCATTTTATAATAGCATTAAAAGGAATAAAATACTTGGGAGTAAATTTAATAAAAAGTACAAAATACTTACTTTGAATTACAAAACTTTGGAAAAAATGAAAAGACCTACGTAAATGGAAAGATATCCCGTGTTCATGGAGTGGAACTTTGATCTACAGACTTAACTCATTCCCTATCAAAATCCCAGCTAACTTATTTGTAGAAGTTGACAGACTCATCCTAAAATTAATGTAGAACATCATGGGACCCAGAATAGCCACGGTCTTGGAAAAGAAGAACAAAGTTGCAGAACTCACATATAAGACAGACTAAAAACAGTAATCAAGATAGTGTGGTACTGGTGTAAGGGTAGACTTCTAGATCATGGAGTAGAATGGAGAATCTAGAAATAAACCCTTGTGTTTACTGTCACGTGATTTTCGATGAGGGTGTCGGGACAGTTTAGTGGGGGAAAGAACAGTCTTTCAACGAATGGTCTGGGACACCTGGATATCCACATGCAAAAGAATACCATTGGACCACTCAGGGTACGCAAAAATTAAACTGGATCAAATACCTACATGTGAGAAGGAAAACTATAAAACACGTAGAAGAAAACATAGGGGTAGATCTTTGTGACCTTGGATTAGGCAAGAGTTTCTTAGATGTGACACCAAAAACAAACAGCAAAAGAAAAACATAGGTAAACGGGATATCATCAAAATCAAAAACTTTTGTGTTGAGAAGGACATCATTAAGAAGGTGAAGAGGCAATCCACAGACTAGGAGAAATTTTTACAAGTCACATATAAATCTAATAAGGACTTCTATCTAGAATATATGAAGAACTCTTACCACTCAATAATACGACAGCTTAATTATAAAATGAACAAAGCATCTGAATGGACATTTCTCCAAAGAAGATCCATAAATATGTGATAGGGCCATAAGCACACAACTGGATGTTCAGCATCCTTAGCCCCCATCAGGGAGCTGCAGATCAAAACCACAGTGAGCTACCACTTCACAACCACTAGGATGTTTGTAATAATAATAAAAAGATAATAAGCGGGCGCCTGGGTGGCTCAGTTGGTTAAGCGACTGCCTTCGGCTCAGGTCATGATCCTGGAGTCCCGGGATCGAGTCCCACATCGGGCTCCCTGCTCAGCGGGGGGTCTGCTTCTCCCTCTGACCCTCTTCCCTCTCGTGCTCTCTGTCTCTCATTCTCTCTCTCAAATAAATAAATAAAATCTTTAAAAAAAAAAAAAAGATAATAAGCGTTGCCCAGGATGTGGGAAAATCAGAGCCCTCACGTCCCGCTGGTAGGATGGGAGGTGCCGTGGCTGTGGGAAGTAGTTGGCCGGTCTTCAAAATACGACCCAGTAATTCTACTCCTAGGTGTTCACCCAAGAGCAGTAAAAACGTACATCTGCACACACACTCACAAATGTTTGTAGCCACGTGATTCTCGGTAGCCGAAAGGCGGAAGCAGTTCCGATGTCCATCGGCTCTGATGTCCCTCAGCTGGTGGATGGGCAAGATGTGGTTCATCCCGACGATGGACTGTTTATTGCCCACAAGGAGCAGGGTGCTGCTGCATGCTGCCGCGTGTTGGGTGACTCCCTTTATGCAGAGTGCTCGGGATAGGTGAACTGAGGGAGACAGAAGGCCGACTGGTTGCCTGGGGCTGGCAGATTGGGAGATGGCGTTTCTTTTGGGGTAATGAAAGTGTTGAGAAACTGATTGTGGTGATGGTTCCACAGGTCTGCAGATAAATTACAAGCCATTGAATGGTACACTTGAAATAGGACAGTTGTGTGGAACGTGAATTGCGTTTGAACAAAGCTAAAAACAACAAAACAACACACCCCACAAAAAGCCTGAGCGGTGGCCCAGGGGTGGCAGCGCCTCATGAATCGCCTGTGCCGCGAGGGCCAGAGTCCGAGTCCGCCATCGTTGTGTGGTTGTGCGGCAGGTGCGAGATGAACGATGACGTTTGTCATACGCGGCCTGGCGGCTCCTGCAGTCGACAAGTACCGCGTGCCTGCAGGTTTTGAGTTCCAGAAAATACCAAGTTCCAAGTCTGTGCCAGGCTCTGTTTGAGGCACATGGGTTGTGTTTAAAAAAAAAAAAATAAAGCTGGACTCACCCGCTCGTGGAGCTGTACTCTGCCGGACCGATACAGGCAATATGTAATAAGCATAGTAAATGTGAAAACCATTTCCCCCCTATGTTAGAAGGTGTCGGGGCAAAGAAGTGGAAGCGCGTAAGGGCGTTGGGTGAGCTGCGGTTAGCAGTTAGGCTAGGCTGGTCAGGGTTGTGTCATTGAGAAAGTGCAAGGACGTGAGGGGGACGAAGGTGCTCTGCAGGCCGGTGTTGGGGGAGAGCAGGACAGGCAAGAGGGGCAGTGTGTTGGGGGCAGTGTGGCTGGAGCGGCGGTGGGGGGGAGGGTGGCAGAGGCTCTCAGGGTGACGACGGGCCCCTCTGCCCGTTGCTGGAGGCGGGGGAAGCTTCCCAGTCGGGGAAGGACGTGGTCTGATTCACAGCTCAAAGCCGTGGGGACCTGCGGGGGGACATCCAGGTGTGATGGTTCAGAGAGGGGTCCGGCAGGAGGCAGGCTCCCAGGTGCTGTTTGCATCACAGGCGAGTGTGGCTGGAGGGGAAGTGTGGACCGAGGACCAAGCCTCAGGGGCCCCCCTGCAGGGGGGCCAGGCTGGCAGCGGGAGTGGGGGTGCAGCCGCCCCTCTGATCACTTGCCCTCTCTGGTCCCGCCTTGGGGTCCTCACACCAGCTGCAGCCTGTGCACCTGAGCCCAGGAAGGGGCCAGCTCCGCACCCCGCGCTCGGCGAGCCCTCTCAGCCAGGCTGCCTGCACCGCTGGGGCTGGGACGGTGGGCGCTTGCCTTTCATGCCGACCCCCGTGGCTCTAACCCGGCGGCTGCTGCCACGGCTTGGGTGCTCAGCACGGTGTCGGGCCTGCTCCCCGGTCTTCGCTGCTGCCTGCCTGAGACGGGCTGGGTGCTCGCCGCCTCCTGGGGCGCCCCCCCCCACACCCACATCTGTGCGGACCCCCAAGGCCTCAGACGGCAGCTCGCCCCAGAGAAAGGAGGGGAGCGTCGCGACGTGTGCTCTGTGCCTGTGCCCCTTCCCGAGGCCGTGTTCATCCTTGCAGCCCCGCGGGCGGGGGTCCCTTTGCAGGTGGCGCTGAGCTGTGGCCGTTCCTCGTGGTTGATGGATCGTGCACGGGCAGGGCAGGCCTGTGGGGTGGCAGCACCCTTGTCTTTAGCGAGGCCTGGTCTGCTCTGCGGTCCCGGAAGGCTGAGGCACTGGCGTCGCCTTGTGTTGTGGCCTGCACGTGTGGTGACCACGGCGTTTCGCTGGCTCGGGCTGTCCTTACTGTCCCTTGTGACCAGGACCTGGGCAAACTCCAGTGAAGCGTGTTGTCCTCCTCTGCGTTTACGTAAAAGTTGAGGCCTTTGTCTTCTCGCATTTAGTCTGGTTTTAAAAGCTCTTCCGCACTGGCCCGGTTGGCGACCCGGCGCCGGGCGCCCGCAGCCCCGCCCGCGAAGTGGGAACGCCGCCCGCGGCCGCCGGGTGGGAGAGCGGAGGCGGAGCGCGCGCCTGGCGCTCGGAGCTGCCGCGGGGCTCGTGCCAGCCGCCCGCGGTCTTCCGACGGCCTCGGTACCCTGACCGGCACCGACTGGGAGAGAAACTCCTAACTCCTACCGAGCCTCCTTTGTCCTAAGCCTGAAAACGAACGTGCAGTGTAACAGATCTGAACTTCTAGTTCTGCAAGACAAAAACCCACAGACACTTGCTATACAAAGGAAAGGTCTTTCTTTTGAAATGATTGAAATTCTGTGCAGTGGCCTTGGACCGCATTTGCTTTCTTTCCCAGGGACGACTTTAATATTAAAGTTCTTCAAGCGTTTGTCGAACTCCATGAGTTTGCTGATCTGAACCTCGTTCAAGCCTTAAGGTAAGTGTCGGCGTGTTGGCTGTCCGCGGGGCGGGGGGGGGGCGGGAGCCGGAGGCCGGCGCCCCCACGGGGCCTCCGAGCCCGTGGTGTCCCCAGAGCTGCAGAGAGGCCCCCCGGGCGTTTGCAGACCAAGCCCGTGCTGGCCTCAGTGGGATGGCAGGGGGTGCCCTGTGTTTCTCACCCGGTATTTGGCAGTCGGGCGCGTTCTTCCCACTTCCGCAGCTGAGTCTCGGTGCTGCCCAGGCGCGGGCCTGCTTCCCACTGCATTTGGTCTCAAACAGCAGCCTCGTGGACGTCCCCGCCTTGTCCGGGTGAAGCCAGGTGTCCCTACGCCCCGGACCCTGAAACGCCACCGTCCCCTGGTGGTCCTTTCTCCGTAGGCAGTTCTTGTGGAGCTTTCGACTTCCGGGGGAGGCGCAGAAGATCGACCGCATGATGGAGGCGTTCGCGTCCCGCTATTGCTTGTGCAACCCCGGCGTCTTCCAGTCCACAGGTCGGCAGCGCTGGGGCCCGGGGCCGGGGAGCCTCTGCCCGGGGGCGGGGGGGGGGGCGCCTCTGGCCAGGCGCGCGGCTGAGGGCCCCTGCACCCTCCACCCTCTTGCAGACACCTGCTACGTGCTGTCGTTCGCCATCATCATGCTCAACACCAGCCTCCACAACCACAACGTGCGGGACAAGCCCACGGCCGAGCGCTTCGTCACCATGAACCGTGGCATCAATGAGGGAGGGGACCTCCCAGAGGAGCTGCTGCGGGTGAGCTCCCCGCCCTTGGGGCCCTAGAGCTGGCCCTCATGCCTCGGGAGCAGCGGTGGGCAACGTTTACCATCAGGCACCTGCAGGGTCCCTCGCGGCCCCGGTCCCACCGAGCCCGGTGCCCTCGGGGACACGCGCCACCGCCCGGCCCGTTCGCCCCCGGCTGTGTCCCTGAGTGCGCTGTCCCCTGTGCTCCTCGCAGAACTTGTACGAGAGCATCAAGAACGAGCCGTTCAAGATCCCCGAGGACGATGGCAATGACCTGACGCACACGTTCTTCAACCCCGACCGCGAGGGCTGGCTCCTGAAGCTGGGTGAGTGGTGGCCGGCGGGCGGGCCCCGCGCTCGGAGCCCCCAGCCCTCGGCAGCCAGGGGCCCCGACCAAAGGCAGAACCGCTAGAAGCGAGGGCCGTTGGGCCGAGTCCGCCCACCGTAGCCGGCCGCACGCCCCAGACTCGATGGCTGCCGCTTTGAGCCCTACCCCGTCCGAACGAGGCCCTGCCGGCCCTGTCCACGGCAGAGAATAACGCCCGGGCTGCACGAGCGTCCCAGAAAACTGCTCAGTTAGCGTCCAGATAGACCCAAGGCAGTTTTCGGTACCAGAGGCAGGTGCATTTACTGCGAGAACCTGCGTGCCTTTCTCTTGGTTTGGTGTGGCTGATTTTTGATGCGTGGTTTAAATGTGCCTTCTTGTTGTTTTCCTTCTGCCTGTGGCTCCCACCTTTCTGTTCTGTGACGGGCTGTCCCTGCTTGTTCTGCGTTAGGAGGTACGTACCCAGTGGCTTCCTGCCCCTTCCCCAGCTGCTCATTCCTCTCTCAGTTTCTCTCCCCCGTTGGTCTGTGTGAAGCTCTGATCTGTGGCTGCCATTCATCTGACCCCTGTGGCTTTGGACTTGCTGGGGTTAGCTTCATGCAGGGTGCGGCGAATGTGACAGCTACACCCCCGGGCCGGGCGAGGCGTGGCCGGAATGCCAGCCCTTCGGCGCTGGGAGCGCATGGGAATGCGTGTGGGACCGAGCCTGCCCATCCGTGTCCTTAGGGCCTGAGCAGCCTCGAGCCTGCTGGTCGCCTGCTCCCTCCCCGTACATCACCGGTTGCCTCTCATACTAACCAAGCAGCGCATGTTTGCACCACCCCTGGATGGAGTCCGGACGTGTTCAAAGGGCTTCCCAACCATTGACGAAGAAGCAGAGTAGCGTTGATATTTTCTGGGCAATTTTAGGAATTGGTAGGGTGGTTTTTTGTTTTGTTTTTATTCTGGGGGCGGGGGGGATTTCTGCCTTACTGTGACACGAGAGCCTGTGAGACGTGACGGCATGTACCGACCAGGCATGGTCGCTGTAGAGCACGCTGTGAGACCCCAGGCCTAAGAGAATCGCCGCGACTTTGTGTTCGTAATCGAGGCGAGGGTAAGGGGCGTGCATGAAGGCGTGTGCCAAGGCTCGGCCGTTCCGATTTGGGGTCTTGCTCTGGCTTCTCTCTGGCTGTGCTGAGGTTTGGGGGAGTTCTAGATAGATCTTTGTCTAGAAACCCAGAGCCATAGCCGTGGACGTGGAGATGCATCTCTCAGGTCACCCCAAACCTGTGGCCCCGGGGTCAGGGCAGAGGGGGGACGTGTCCGACATGCCAGGGAGGGCCCCTCGTGTGACAGCGACAGTGTGAGCCTGCCTGGCAGCTGGTGTGGCCTCGGCACCAGCGGGAGATGCACCTGCTTCGAAAGAGAACCAAACGAGGGAGACAAAGGCACAGCGGGGCTTGTGTTCCACCTGTGCTCCAGGTGCGCACGTAAGCAGTGCTCAGAGCACCCCGAGGAGCTACGGAGCTGGCAGGGTGCTGAGTGGGTGCCCAAGGGGCCCCCTGCAGCCAGTCGTGGCCTCGGCACGGTGGGGCCTGGGGTCGGCTCCCTCCGAGCTCCGCCGCCACGTGAGCGGGTGTGAGGAGAAGTCACGGTGCTGGCGTTCTCGGCACCCGTCACAAAGCTAGGGGTGATGGTGCCGCCCAGAGCTCGGGCCCGCCGGCCAGCGGGTGACTGCCCGGGACCTCCTCCCCAGAGCCCCAGCGAGCCCGCTGTCGCCTCCCTCGGGCCCACGCAGCCTCCGTACCCTCTCCGTGCACAGAGCTGTGGCCGTGCCGAGAGCGGGTTTCCCAGCGGGTGGGTCTGCTCTGCACAGCTGCTGGGCCTGGACACAGTCCTGCCCCCAGGCCGCCTCCCGGGAGTCTTGACGCTGGCCTGGCCTCTAGGGACAGCTGGTGGGCGTCAGGCCCCGAGGGCCAAGAAGGCAGGCAGGCCGCTGGAAGCTGATGCCGGCGATGCGTTAGCTGGGCCTGGGTTCGCTCTGGGCCCTTATCCAGCACAGGGCAGACACAGGCTGGACACGGACGTGCTTGGCCACAGGCCTACAAGACAAGCGTAGGAGACAACGTGTGTTCTGTGCACGCACTCAGATAGGAGTGGAGGTCACCATGTGACCTTGCTTGTGTCTCATCATAGACTTGGTCTTAGGCCAGGTGGAACTTTCAGAAGGCCTGGATGCTTTGCAAGAACTAGGAGCATTGTAGTGTTGCTTCGTGATCATCAAGGAAATGCCTTACAGTCGCTGAGGTTTGAGAAGGGGTCGGTTCTGTTCACAACACGGGCACATGGGTCAGAGTTGAGCTGTCCTGCAGAAGGAGTATGTGTTGTCGGGGGGTGGGTACCGTGTGCCTGGGAGCAGCCGCGGAAGCAGCAGCAAGTTCGGAGTGGAGAAGCCGGGCGCGAGTGCTGTGTGTCTGTGTGTCCGTCCGTCCGTGTGTCCATCCCCGTCTCCTGAAGCTCAGCCAGGAACACACGTAGGCAGAGCCTGTCTGTCCCTTTGCAGCGAGACCTGCGATGGCTCCGACCCCCGCTTCCCCCCCCCACTGGGCCTGCCCCCCTGAGCTGTAAGGGTACCTGGGGCTGGGCTGGGAGGCCCTTGGCCATGACCACCGGGCTAGGGATTGGGCTCCCCAAGACGGGCCACTGAACTCAGGAGCAGTGGGGCGGGTGCTGCGGCGGGGGGGCAGAACGCTGAGAAGCCTTCCCAGCTAAGCCGTTGTCCTGGTGTCGGGTGGTGCAGGGTCTCCGTGGGGCTGGGGGTGAGCAGGACACACAGGGCGCCCCCTCGTGGCCCAGTGCAGGAGCGCAGACGGAAGGGCAGGCACTGGACAGATGGGCAGCGTGTGGGCTCCTGGGGTGATTCTCTGAGAGCCTGCTTGTGCAGCTGAGGGGAGGGGAGGTGCTAGCAGGGGAGTGGGAGCTCGGGGCAGCAGGGTGGCCGGAAGGAAAGGCGGGGGCCGGGAGGGGAGCCACGAGGAGGCCTTGGAGGCCGCTGAGGGGTTGGGGTCCTAGGCCGACAGGGTGCGAGCCTTTGGGAGCTTCAGGCATGGAGAGCCGGGATGAGCTTACCTTTTCAAGGGACGCCTCTGGGGGAGGGGGGACATGGGGGTGGGAGGCTGGCGGCCCGGTCCAGCACCAGCACAGCCAGAGATAGACCTGGTGGGAGGGAGGTAGAGTGAACTGGGCTGGGGCGATGTACCTGGAGAGAATCTGTGCTGTCCCATCACTGGAGGACTTTGGGACGAGGGTCTCCTGGGTCCCCTCCCTGTGAAGGTGGGCTCACGGCTCGCCTGGGACTTGGCTCAGCGTTGGGCGGAATGGCCAACGTTTCCACGAGGAAGAAGGGTCCCTTCCTTCACCACTCCCCCCCCCCGCCCCCCGGAAGCGGGATGTCTTCTCTGCCTGGATTTCTGCAAACATCAAGGCCAGAGGCACTCTTGCCTCAGCCCCGGCTGACCTGGGAAGCCGGCCCGTGTGCCTTCCTGTCCCTCCGTGACCCCCGGCCCCACATGACCCACGCGGCCTTTCCCCCCACACCACGGCGGCACTCGCCTGCTCACGGGTTGTAGAGAGAGGCAGGCGAGCTCCGCCTCGAATGTCACCTCGGGGAGTGACAGGGACGGCTACCTGCTTGTGCCCACAGATTGCTTGATTCTGTTACCCTGCGCGTGTTTTTCTCGTAGATTGTTTTTTTAAACTTCACGTCAGAAGCAAGGGCTGGAAATTGAAGCCTGTTTGTGCTGAATATTGGGGGGTAAAAGATTTCCTTCTCTGTAGTGAAAGGAGAGGAGACACAGATGGGCTGTGTGTGTGTGTGTTTACATGTGTGTCCCCGATCTTGTTAAGAGATTAAGTCAATCGAGTAATTCCCTGGACCAAGGAGTAATTGATGGCGATGGATCCCAGGGCCAGCCAGAGCCCCGGGGTAACAGGATTAGGCCCCGGACGGGCCCGGGGAGCCGCACTGACTTCATCCTGTTGTCATTTCCATGTGGGGAAATCAAGCCCATTCATCACGACTAACGTTTCCACAAAGGCCTTTGGAAAGTGGTGGCCCAGGTGGCCGTGGCCGGGGCGCCGGTGCTGCCCGGGTGGGGGTGCATGTGGGGCCCCGGCAGCGCCCCGCGCGCGCTCGTCGCCACCCCGGTGCCAGGCCACACGGCTCGCCCGGGACTTGGCTCAGCGTTGGGCGCAATGGCCAACGCTTCCACGAGGAAGAAGGGAGCTTAAGACCGAGCTTGGCTCCTGGTGGCATTTCTGAAGACAGTCATTTCTGCAGGTCCCGGGCCCGCCCTTGAGGGCCCCGGGGCCCCAGCGCGTGCGGGCTGCGGCTCACGAGCTCCTTCTGCTTCTAGGAGGGCGGGTGAAGACCTGGAAGCGGCGCTGGTTCATCCTCACCGACAACTGCCTCTATTACTTTGAGTACACGACAGTAAGTACGGGGCGGGCTGCCGGGCCGGGCGCACGGCCCTCGGGGGGCGCGGGCCTGAGCGAGGCTGCCCGTGCGCTCTTTCTCGCAGGACAAGGAGCCCAGGGGCATCATCCCCCTGGAAAACCTCAGCATCAGGGAGGTGGAGGACCCACGGAAACCGGTAAGCTGGCCTCCTCTTGCCGCCCCTGCCCTCCGGCGGCCGCAGCGCTGGTGACGGCGCTCTGTCTGTCTCCGCCAGAACTGCTTCGAGCTTTATAACCCGAGCCATAAGGGCCAGGTCATCAAGGCCTGTAAAACCGAGGCGGACGGCCGGGTGGTGGAGGGCAACCACGTGGTGTACCGGATCTCCGCCCCGAGCCCCGAGGAGAAGGAGGAGTGGATGAAGTCCATCAGGTGCGCGCCGGGCCCCCGCTCAGAGCCCCGCCGGCCCCGGGCGCTTCCTGTGCACGCGGTGCGGTGGGAGAGCGAGTGCGCGTGTGCGAGGGCGTACGCATGCGAGCGTGTGAGCCTGCCCGTGGGGGAGTGCGCGAGCGTGCGAGCGTGTACGGCGGGGGTGCGTGCACGCGCGCTGCACCTGCCCGCGCGCACGCGCACTGCCGCGTGCGGGACCGGCCGCCGCCTGCAGACACACGCGGCCCCAGCGGCCCCGCTTGGGGGCGCTGCAGGGCGCCCTCCGACCTCAGGACTCTCCTCTCCCCCCAGAGCGAGCATCAGCAGGGATCCTTTCTATGACATGCTGGCCACGAGGAAGAGGAGGATTGCCAATAAGAAATAGAGCTTTCCCGGCCTCGGCAGGTGGAAGTGGGAACCAAAACCCCGCAGCAGAAAGTGACTGGGAGCCTCCCCGACACCCTGGGCCCCGCCTCGCTCTCCCGCCGCCTCCCCGGAGGAGGCAGCGCTGCACCGCGCCGGCCGCGCGGCGGGAGCGCGCTCTGGGGTCGCCGGGGCCCCGCGCCGCCGCCGCCCTCCCGCCGGCCCCGAGGGAAGCTGGCGCCCGCCGTGCCGCACGTGCTCGCCCGGGGCTGCGCCCTCCGGTCCAGAAGCCGCTGTTTTCTAGCAGACGAGGAAGGAAAAGCGACCACTTTTTTACTCAAGAGTTTTTTTCTCAGATATACAGGATTATAGCTTTTATATGCCTTTTTATATTCTGAAATTATAACGGAAGATACTTTGTAGCAGTAGTATTTCTAGAACGGCAGCTATAAATCTCACTCCTGGTTGCACAGCAGACACCGGGCACTGAAGGAGGAGTCCGTCTGCACGACGCGCGCAGCCCGCCGGGGCCGGGCCGGGCCGGGCCGGGCCGGGTGTGCGGGCTGCTCTTCCGCTCGGATCGCCTTCGAGAGGGGCGGGTCGTTACAGGGGATGGTTCTGGGCGTTTCTCTGGTCACTGCGGCCCGGCGCCGGCTCGGTCTGTGTGCTGAGCCCCAGGAAACGGCAGCTGCTGGCCTGTGTGGCCCCGCCCCCCGCAGTTCCACGTGGTTCACCGGAACCGTGGTTCCGACCAGCTCCCGACCAGTCTGCGCCGCTTAAAACCTGTCGGCAAGACCGATGCTTTTTACTGACCTGGTGACAATCGGACCCGATCTCTTGAGGTAACGTGTAGCCAAGTAGCCAGAACGACTCCCGTCCCGTGTTTTCAGAGACTGACCCTCTGGCCAGGAGCAGGGAGAGCGCACGCTGCGGGTCGGAGGCTGGGGGCGCTTAGGGTTTCCTGTAAATAGTGCAAAACCCCCCACACAGCTGGCGGCGGAACTTGGGGAGCCCCCGGTCAGGCGGCCGTCGGGGTGCTGTTGACCTAGTAGTAGGTGCTCAGGCCGTCTGCCGGAGGGAGGATGGGTCTCCGCGCAGGACGGGGCCGCCGCGCGGCGAGGCTGGGGTGCTGCGGCCCCGCCCCCGCCCCGGGCCCCGCCCCCGCCCCGCCGCGTGGGCCCCGCCCCGCCCCGCCCCGCCCCGCCCCGCCTCTGCGCCCCTCGGCGGCCCGCGCGGCCCGCGCAGGATGGAAGTCCCGGACGGCGGACCTCGGGCCGTCGGCCCCCGTTGGGGACGTTCAGTGCGAGGGACTGTGCCTGTGAGCTGCCGTGGCGCGGGAACGGGCCGCTGGCCTGGCACCGCTGCCCTGGACGGAGCTTAGGCGCTAGAGGCCGAGCGTCCGAGCCCGGGGCCCTCTGACCTGCATCAAACGGACTTCTTGGTTTCATTCCCAAGCTCGTAGGCTTTGTTACTGTACCGATACCTCAAATTCGAAACTTGGGTTTTTGAGACAGGCCCGTCGGCGTTCTCGAAGTGCGCGGCTCCGGCCTCCAGTCCTCGTGAGCAGACGGCGCCGGCCACAGTGGCCGTAGCGCGCACGGGGAGCCCGTCCCCGGGTGTCGGCCCCAAGTGGGCCCCGGGGAGGCAGGCCTCTCTCGCTGGGCCTTGGCCGCGGTGGGGGCGGGAGAACGAGCTGGAGGGAAGCCCCGTGGGAGGGCTCCCTTGGGCGCCTGTGAAGGCGCGGCCCGTCGGGCTGATGCCCCGCGAGCCTACCCGGCCGAGGCCGCGGTGCTCGGACGCGGGGCAGGTGGGCACCTGCCGTCCGCGTTAGGGGAGGTCCTCGAATCCCGGGTTTTGTTGTGACAGTTTAACGCACCGACTTGCGAGTCCGCGATGCCCGGCAGGGCAGGGGGGCTGTGTGGGCCCCCCGGCCGCCGGCCGAACCTCCAGGGGGCCGTGTTCCTCCTCCCCCCCCCCCCCCGCCACCCCCACGTCCGCGCGCAGTGCTGGAATTTAGTCCCAACTCTGGCCAAAGACAAGCTCTCCTCCAGAGGCCAAGGGCAGGAGGCGGTGGAGGGCGTGCGCCGGGCGGACGGCCGCGGCCCCCCAGCCTCGGTTAACACTTGAGGTTGAACTGGATGACCCTGGACCCAGGCAAGCAACAGTGTCTTCAGGACTACGGAGCAACCTTCAACAGTTTAAAGTGGTACCAAACCGAATCAAAATAGGAGCTATTTATAGATGAAGCAGCATTTAGTGCTTCATATAAAGCAATGCATATTTTTAAAAGTTAAAATGCATATTATCTACATAGATGTGCTTTGCTGAGAAGTTAGGTCTGTTGTAGACCCGAAACCACACGTTGTGATTTCACATTTTCTTATTTTTTCTTAGACATTTCTATTTACAGTAAATATAGTTAATATGTAAATAATGTACAGAGAGATTTCTGGAGTGTTTGTTATTCAATGTATATACTCCCACAAGTTGCATGAAGAAATACCTTATTATCTATCGATACTTTGTTGTAAAATGAATAGCAAAATTGGAAGGTGTATGGCCATCAAATTGCAAATACCGTGTCCACAGAATAAAAAATGCATTGTTCAAAGAATACTACCTAGGACCTGGTTCTTTAAAATAGATCGTCGGGTCCAGGAACTTGCTCCCTGTCCCTTCCTCATCCCGGGCTTGGGCTTCAGAGGAGTCTAAGACCGTGAAGGCAGCAGCAAGAAGGTGGTGAGAAGGGTCTGGTAAGCAAAGGGGGGAAACAGCAGTAAAGATGTAAGACACAAAATGTTTAATTTGCTGCCATTTATATACTATATAAATTTTACATGCTGTATATTTACAGTGGGGCAAGTGCTTTTTTAATCTTTAAAAAAACAAAGATCAAACTTTAGACATCTCTGAACAACACAAACTGTATAAACCATACAGATTATTCAGATACAAACTGTATTAAATACAGTTTTCCCCACTCCATCTCCTGATGCAGGACCAGTGAATTATAAGTGTATCACAGTTTGATAGCATATCCATATTAAAAATAAAATCACAGTATGATTTTGTCTGTAACTAGAAACTTTAAGGGACCAAGCTGACAACTCAGACTCCAATATCATAGTCAAGACAAGAGACACTGTATAAAAAAGTGTTAAGTAATAAAAACATACTGTAGGCTTTACAAATAATGTTTGGATTATACATTCATAATGTAAATACTCATCATAACTGGTAAATTGATTGGAATAGTTCCACAAAGTTCAAAAACAGAACTTGTCTATAAAATACATTTTCAAATCTTGAATACAACTAAAATATGAAGCAAATTAGTTTCTAGTATCAGACATTACAGAAAACAGACTGCTCTCAAGTCTAGTTGAGAGCTCGTGAATCTTTAAATAAGTCTTTAAATTAAATATACACACTGTCAGTTTGTACTTTTAATAATTCCATGGTTTCCCGGCTGGTCTGGCACCGGATGTCTAACTTGGAGGAGCTTTCCATGGAATGCGAGCGGTCCACCTGAGTCTGATTAAGCAGCATTTGAGATGTTCCAGTCCAGGGCGTCACTGTCCGTGGGATTTATGTACACGGTGTTTTACAATGGTCAGCAGTTGTAGAAAGTGTTCGTCCATTTGGAATAAGGGTAATTAAGAAAAGGTAAAAACTAAAAAAAAGTTCTCCATGGTAAAATCTGTACAGGATTTACTAAAGAAGCACCACGCGGATTTGAACCAAGTTATTTTCTAGATTGATAATTTAAGCTGGGTTGGGGATGGCTTCTGTCGAACACGCTGAATCTGAAAGACAAGAGGCAGCAAGCGGCAGCCGTTAGTACCTCCCGAGGCCGGGGCCTGGGGGCCTGGCCGTCCCTGACACCGACAGCTCAAGCGTGGGCTTCCTGGCACAGCTCCGCCAGGCCTTGGGGGGCAAGCTCCTCGTCCCTACGGCCGTCGCTCTGCCTTCCAGAAGGGCGGGGAGGGAAGGGGGCTGCTCGGGGCCGGACGTGCGGAGGGAGCCACCTGCTGGGCGCGCGCCGCTGCCAGTCGGCTCAGGCCTGCAACTCCCTTTCGCTAGACAGTCGGAGTCTAATGCCCTACTTAGGCTTAGGTCTTTTCCTTAAGACACCGAGAAAGCAGGTTAGTTGGCTGCACGTTAATCTGCCGAAGACGATCGGGGAAATCCACTTCAAATCCCCCCTGCTGCCTACGAGTCCCACAGCGGACACGGGCGCCTTCAAGAGCGACAGGGCACCTCAGCAAGTGCGGGCCACAGACAAGAAGCGCTAGCCCCCGGGGCCACTGAGTCAAATGCCGGTAGTCACTGGACACTGTCAAAGTCGGCATCTGTCCTAAGGCACCCACACCGCGTTCCCCGCGTCCTCTCTGTCGGCGGTCGGCGGGCGCTCTCGGTCTGCACGCCCTGCACGCCGCCGCGAACCCCGTGTTCCCCCAGCGCGGGGACCCGGGGCCGTGTGTGGGAAGGGGGCTGCCAGGGGCTCCTGGCCGAGGCCAGTCGGGTAGGTCTGGGTGGAGGAAAGGAGCTTCTCGTTCGTTCGGTTCCATCCTGGCCCTGGCGCCTTCGGCTTTCCCTCACTTTCTCACCAGAAGGGGGGGGAGGAGGAGGGAGCAGGGGGCAGGGTGGCCCCGGCTCAAGTAAGGGACGCCCCGTCCCAGAGCCAGACCCAAGGAAGAGGGGTCTAAGCACAGCTCCGGCGCTTGGCCTGGGGGGCAGAGGAGTCCGCTACCCTCGCGGGGGAGCCTCCCGCGCCTGCTCCCCGCAGCACCGCCTCTAAGCCCGACGCCCCAAACTCCTTGTCTGTGTCCCCGCGGTGCCTCTACAAACAAGTACGAAACAGACAGACAGGAAAACTGCTTACCATAACTAGTCAGTTTTTTGTTTTGAGGCCAAGTTTTCAATCACCTAGAAAGCAAAGAATCAGGAAAGAGATTTTAATGATGGTTTTGCAGAACCCTTCGTGCCTGCGCTGTGGGCACGAGTGATCACACATAGAAGCCGCTGTGGGCCGGGTGCTCGCGGTGGGTGAGCAAGCAGTCCCTGCCCCGAGGCGCGCTCCCCAAGCGTCTTCCTGGAAACAAGACTCCATGCGACACCTGCCATGCAGGGAAAGCCTCACCCTGCGGGAACAGTCCGCTCTCAGCCCATCAAACGCCTCAGCAGTTCAACAGCAGGACAGACCAGACCTCAGGCCAAAGACACTGAACCGAGAGTTCCATGCGGCCGGGGGACAGGAGGCTGAGAGGCGAGTGGTCCAGGTGGCAGACACGGGGCACACGTGGCAGGCAGGCACAGGGGCCTGGCATCCTCGGCCAGAGGACAGGGCTGCTTGGCACGCAAGCCCAAGCAGGTGGCCCCCGTCCCCGAGGACAGGAGGGGACAGGCACACGGGTTCCTCAGTCCGCTCTCCGCGGAAGCACCGGCTGCACATCGGCCATCGAGGGCCATCGGACAGGACAGAAACGGCCACCACTCAACAAAGCCTGACCGCAGCCCCGAGAGACACACGTCTGGGCCCCCAAATGCCAACTGGCGAGGTTCCCACTCAGCCTGCTTTCCCTCCAGGGCCATCTCTGGGGGGGAGCTGCCCTCCACTGTGCGCCCGTAGCCTCTGAGGGTGGTCCTTCCGAGACCTGAAGCCGGGAGGGGAAGATTCTGGCAACAAAGCAGAATCCCCTCAGATGCCGCCCACTCCTCCCTCTCAAGCACCAAGGAGAGGTAGAAAGGACTCGATCCTCACCAAGCCAAGCCCTTCCCCAAATCACCAAAATGCTCATGGGAAACCAGTCTGAAGATTCATATGTTTAATATCTTTAAAAAACCCAGAGCAGACAACAGCCCAGCATCACTTTCTTGCCGGCCACGGCCACTCTTGTCCTCTGCCCCGTGCCACCCGGGCTCCCCACGGCACGTCACACCGCACGGCCCCTCCTGCTGGGACAGGGCCTCCCTCACGGTGTCTGCTTCCCTAACGCCAACGCTCAGGGCCCTCCTGTCCCTCCTCCGTCCACAGCCACACCGACTGGTCTGCCCCCAACAAGTTCCCGACACAAAGGGCCTCTGCGCAACCACGAAGCCGCATCAAGGGCACGAGAGCGCACCTCAGGCATCTAGGGCAGGGCCAGGTGAGCTTCTCGTACAAAAGGTCAGAGGATGGGCGCCTGGGGGGCTCAGTCGGTTAAGCGACTGCCTTCAGCTCAGGTCATGGTCCTGGAGTCCCGGGATCGAGCCCCGCATCGGGCTCCCTGCTCGGCAGGGAGTCTGCTTCGTCCTCTGACCCTATCCCCTCTCATGTGTTCTTTCTTTCTCATTCTCTCTCTCTCAAATAAATAAAATCTTAAAAAAAAAAAAAAAAAAAAAAGCCGGAGGACAACCCTGTTCCACTCTGGGGCCGTCCGGGCTCTCGGCAGCGCCTGCTCAGGGCCAGCGTGGTGACACGTAACTGAGCGGGCTGAGCTCGCCCCAAGCACAGCTCCGGACACAGGCGTGTCCCACATGCAGAGACATCTTCTCCTTTGGACTTTGCCAGCCATTTAAAACCCACAAAGCCCCTCTGAACCGGCAGGCCCCGCGGAGATGGGCGGCACAGATGTAAGCTGCATACAGAGAGGAGCTGCTTTAGGTGCAGTCAGAGCAGAAAGGGCTGTGAAACGACATCGGTAGACAGTGGTGCAAAGTGGGGAAGAATCCAAACCACCCCCCTCCCCCCCGCCAAGCCTGGAGGGATTTGCTTGGCGGGAGCCTGGGCCCCATAATACAGGCGCCTGCAAGGCCTCGACTCTGTTAGGGGGTGAGAGCAGACGTACCCCAAACAGAGTTTCAGCTTATACTCCGAATGCTAGAGGTTTGCAGACTCAGGAGGGAAAGCACACACGGTGAAAATATTTCTATCAGAAATGGCTTAAGAACAAAAGCCCTGGTCCTTCATGAGACACACACACGCCCAGAGCCCCAGACTCCAGAGGTCTCACTACCGAGGCTCCGCCGCACCCAGGTCCGGGTCACCGAGGTCCCTGCACACGCTAAGGGTCAGTCCCGCAGCTGCCCGCGCTCCGCCTGGGGGCCGAGGCTGGAGCGGACAGGGCGCACGGGCTCCTGCTGGAGCCAAACCCTTTTACGCCATTTGAGGGTTTCTTCCCCTGTGTTAACAAGAAATCGTTTCTATATTCTTAATTCCAAGTATCTCCTCTTACCCTGGCCACACTCAGACAGAGGACACCTGTCATCCCTGCTTCCCATCCTTAAG